GGTAAAAAATAGTGAGAGGATATCTACCAGAAACGAAAAATAATAAAGTATGGTGCGCTGATCAATCCCTTTTCAGACTGCGTCACTTTTCTACTCCCCCTCAGGATAGCAGCAGCAGTTCGATTGCAATTGGACTATACAACGACTTGCAGAGCAAGCCGATGAACAAGTCAGGGTTTTTATCCTCCCGGGCAGACTTTCATGCCAATTAACCTGCCAGTGCCATGTCATGCCTTTCGCCCCTCCAAAATAAGTCACTGGTACCAGACCTGTCCGGGAGGATAAAATACTGTCGATCAGAAGCATTAGCGCTGAAAAAAATGAGCGTTCAACTATGACTTAAGCAAAGCAGAGTTCGACGAGAAACACTCAAGTTTTGTAATTTCGTGAATATTTCAAAACACCCCGTCAGACTATGAAAATCAATGAATTAGTCTTCAGATATGTCATAAATCCGGACGTGTCTCGACGAGAAAATTTATTGTTCAGATTTATATAACATTCACGAATATCCCGCTATAATCGTATGTCGCGCCAAATTTCACGTCCTAATCATCAAAATCTGCTCACGATATTTATAGCATTTTATATTGGTCTGGAATGCTACGCTAGCATTCATAGAATTGCCAAATCGGCTGAATCAGCAAACAAAGAGCTGGTATCGACAAAAATACAATGAATTTCTCCTTCCTCCTCATCATGGAGAATTTTTTTGATTGTGCGGAGTTCTTTGCTAATGCATATTCTTGAGTTGTTTTGTTTGTTAATTGCTGTGCATAAAATGCTTCAGCAGTTCGCTTTGCGAGCATTTTTTTTAATGAAATGAAAAAAAAATGAAAAAGCCGATTTTTCGAGCGTTTCCGACTAATGAATGAACATTCGTAGTACATCAAGCTTACTCGCGAAACACCACACAACGTTGGTTGCCCTATCTCAGTACGCAAGTCGTATCCGGTGGCATCGCACATGGAAATGGTATCGCAAATTAGCTCGAAGAACGCTTTGGTTCTACGTCGGCTCACCTCTTCGCTGCTAAACGTACTATTCTTGAAAATATGTTAAGAACTGTGACTAGGGTGAGCACTGGAGATGTTGAAAGACGTGAATCACGACAATTAGCTACACAAATAGCCATTGCAAACGGCTATGCGGTACAAAGACACCAAAGTCGGCATATCTCCCCAAGAGGAAACCGCGTCAAAACAAGTTGCCCTTATGTCTCCCCTTTATATCTGACGAAGTGAGCAATGCTATTCAAAGGAGCATTCGGAGAAAGAGCACAGCTGCACAGCGATGTTCAGTTCAGTAATATTCCAAACGAAAAATATCGAACGGCAATTGGTTCGGAACAGGCTCTATGATAAGCAGAGTGCGTTAGATGGGTGTGTTATAGGAGACGGTCATTTCAATCGTCAGCCAACGAGGTCACGCCGCTCACGCGACGACTCTCGTCGCGCGCGGCGATTGGTGCGGCGATGGTCTGTGGACTAACATAACCATCATGTCCATAAGTTGCGGGTGGGGCTAGGTAACTGATAAGAGAAGAGTGCTAGACATCAGTAAGCCAGCAAGCGTCACCTTAAGATCTCCGCAGTGATTTAAGCCTCACAGTACAAAGCTTGTACCATGTAAAGGTTGTCCTTTTGGATTTAATTTGACTTCTTTATTATCAGCTGCCTGAATTTCTATCAGAGAGTGATAATCTGGTTCAATCGAAAGAATATTACGTTCCAAGACACAGAGGAACGGTGAGGAAGGCTCTAACATAAGCATGATAGGATAAGTTTGTAATAATGGCAAGGGACGAAGAAACTGCATTTCAAGGGTAAGGTGATTCCTATTCCATGTTTCATGACTGGAAACTTCATCTAATCTTACATTCCCAATGTTTGGATGCTGAATTCTGGCAACGCCGCCGCGACATCGCGGCTGCGGCGGCTGGCGCGGCGACCTAGCCACTGCCACGATTGAATCGTCACGCACCCGGGATAACTAACACTACAAACCTCTTCAAATA